TTTACCATGAAGAAAAATACTGTGTCATGGAGAGAACTAGAGAACTGTACCAGCTAACAATAGGAATGTCATCACAAGGCAGCAAGTGCTCACGTGCCAAACCTGAGGGAATGATGGCTAAGGAGGCAGAGACCCCGGGAACTAGAGCTGTGCAGGAAGTTTTGTTTTTAATTCAATTTCTTTTTCTTTCAATATTATATATTTTTAAAAACAGATATAATTGATATAACATTGTTTTAGTTTCAGGTGTACAACATAATTTGATATATGTATATATTGGGAAATGATGGCCACAATAAGTTTAGTCAACATCCATCAACGCACATGGTTACAAATTTTTTTTCTTTTTTTTTTTTTATATCCTCACCCGAGGATATTTTTCCATTTTTTGTACAGATAGAGTGGGAGGGAGAGAGAGAGAGGAAGGGAGAGAGAGAAACATCGACGTGAAAGGTACACATCGAGTGGCTGCCACCCGCACAACCAACCAGGGCCGGGGACAAACTGCAACCGAAGTACGTGCCCTTAGCAGGAACCGAACCTGGGTCTCTCCGGACCGCAGGCCGATGCTCTAACTGCTGAGCCAAACTGGCCAGGGCACAAATTTTTTTTCTTATGATGAGCACTTTCAAGATCTCTCTTTACAACGTTCAAATATACAGTACAGTATTATTACTATAGTCACCATGTTGAACATTACATCCCCATGGCTTATGCTTTCTATAACTGCAAGTTTTAACTTTTAACCATTTTCACCCATTTTGCCCTCCCTCACCCCTGCCTCTGGTGTATTGTATCTTTAAGTTCAGTTTGCATTGTTTTAGATTCCACATATGTGAGATCATATGGTACATGTCTTTCTCTGTTTGACTTATTTCACTTAGTCTAATGCCCTTTAGGTCCATCCATGTTGTTGCAAATGATAGATTTCATTATTTTTTTATGGCTTAATAATATTCATATATATGAATATTATGCATATATAAATATATATGCATATATATGAATATATATTACATATAGTATCATATCTTCTATATCCACCCATCTGTCAGTGAATATTTAGGTTGTTTGCATGTCTTGGCTATTGTAAATAATGATGCAATGGACATGGGATGCAGAAAATTCCTTTTTATTGTAGTAAAATGCACAAAGCATACATTTTTACCATTTTAACCATCTTAAAGTGTACAATTCAGTGGCATTAAGTGTATTCACAGTGTTGTGCAACCATCCCACTATCCAGTTCCAGAGCTTATTCATCACCTGAAATGGAAACCCTGTATTGGGAGGTTTTATAGACAGTCTTTTTTTTTTATCCTCACCTGAGGACATTTTTCGATATTTTGTTCAGATAGAGTGGGAGGGAGAGAGAGAGAGAGAAACATTGACGTGAAAGGGACACATCGAGTAGTTGCCACCCACACGACCCAACCAGGGCCTGGGACAAACTGCAACCGAGGTACGTGCCCTTAGCAGGAACCGAACCCAGGTCTCTCTGGACCGCAGGGCAACACTCCAACCGCTGAGCCAAACCGGCCAGGGCTAGACAATCTTATAGACTCTTGAGAGAGAGCTAGGATTTAAAGAGGCAGACACGTGAGAGGAATCCACTAGGCGCGTAAAGAGTCAGCGTTGACAAGATGTGTCCAGTGCTTGGAGAACGGTGAGAAGTGGAGGTTTGTGAAGCAAAGTACTGAGCAGTAAGGTTGGGTGACTCGTGTGGATTTTTCTGTATAACAGCAGGATTTATCCTTTCCTTGTCCTTTCAGGGTCACCTTCCTCGAAGGCCACCTCCCCTGTGGTTTCGCTCCTAAACTCCCTCTCAGCTCTGCTGTGGTGTCCCTACTCTCTCTGCTCCAGTTGCGACCTGCATCTCCAGGGTTCTGGTCCGCCTGCAACACGCTGCTGCTGCTGCTGCTGCTGCTGCTCCAGCCATGTGGGCCTCAGTGGCTGGAGGGCCAGATGGCCGCTTTCGTCCCCACCCTGGGCTGTAATTCCTCCATGCACCATTGACATAAGACTGCGGAGTACAGAAACTTCACTGATGGCGATTACTGCAGGGAATGACCTCCTCCCTACTTGGGAACCTTCCCCTTATCTTACAGAATCCCTGCCTCTGGGTGAGTGGTCTAGCGGGAGACACCAACCTAACCCCAGGTCAATCACAGACTTTCCCTAGGATTTTCAAACTAAAATTCTGAAACAATATCTGTCCTTATCTAATGACAGAAATTGAAGAATGAAACCCAGAGGTTGTTGGCAGCTAGGTTTCCTGACATTTGGAAGGGTGACCTAGAGTGAGAATAAGTGAAGCCAACACAAAGAGAGAACAGGGACCAGAGGGAGAGAGTCTTAGTAGTTTCCCCATGCTCTGGCTAGGTTGTTGGATCATTAAAAAAATTTTTTTTTAGCCCTGGCCAGTTTGGCTCAGGGGTTAGAGCATTGGCCCGTGGACCAGCGAGACCTGGGTTCGATTCCCGCTAGGGGCGCGTACCTCGGTTGCAGTTTGTCCCGGCCCAGGCCTGGTTGAGGGTTGTGTGGGTGGAAATCAGTCGATGTGTCTCTCTGACTTCGATGTTTCTCTCTCTCTTCCTCTCTCTCTCCCTCCAATTCTATCTGAAGATAAATGCAAAAATGTCCTCGGGTGAGGATAAAAAACAAATTTTTTTTTAATCTTCATCTGAGGACATTTTTCCATTTTTTGTTCAGATAGAGTGGGAGGGAGAGAGAGGAAGAGTGAGAGAGAGAGAGAGAAACACTGACCTGAAAGGGACACATCGAATGGCTGCCTCCCACACGGCCCTGATCCAACCAGGGATGGGGACAAACTGCTGCTCCAGCCATGTGGGCCTCAGTGGCTGGAGGGCCAGATGGCCGCTTTCGTCCCCACCCTGGGCTGTAATTCCTCCATGCACCATTGACATAAGACTGCGGAGTACAGAAACTTCACTGATGGCTATTACTGCAGGGAATGACCTCCTCCCTACTTGGGAACCTTCCCCTTATCTTACAGAATCCCTGCCTCTGGGGACAAACTCCCTTAGCGGGAACCGAACCCAGGTCTGTCTGGACCGCAGGCCAACGCTCTAATCACTGAGCAAAACCGACCAGGGCAAACAATTTTTTTTTTTAATTTTACGAGAGAGGAAGGGAGAGAGAGAGAGAGAGAGAGAGAGAGAGAGAGAAATACAGTCATCCCTCGTTTATCACAGTTAATCCGTTCCAGACTCTAGCGGTTGCATCTGGCGTTGAAGGATTCCTGAGGTGCTTGAATACATAGGCCTACAGTCTATATGTACAGAAATTTTAATTTTAATTGTAATACAGGGGTGTATAATTGACTCAGACAACCGAGCGCACGCTGTATCATTTTCACTGTCTCGATCAACTTTTTAATGGCTATATTTGTAAAACACGTGATAGAGTGAAGCCATGCAAGTCAAAGCGTGGAGAGGGACGACTGTATTGATGTGAGAGAGAAACATCAATCGGTTGCCCTGACTGGGGATCGAACCCACAATCTGGGTATGTGCCCTGACCGGGAATTGAACCCGCCACATTTCTGTGCACAGGATGATGCTCAACCAACTGAGCCACACTGGCCAGGACTCATCATTTCTTGAATAAGCACGATAAATCTGTATTCTTCTGATAAATACAGCACATACTTTGTTTTGCCTCAGTGGCTTCACTCAGGTTTCTATCACTTTCCATGGTAGGAGCCCTAATACTTAGTAAGGAGAGCAATGGCTGAAACAAGATATCAGAGGCAAGCAGACAAGAGGTGAATGGAGAAAGCCACAAAGTAGTTTGGTATTTGTCAGAGTGTAAACATCCAGACAAGAAGTGGCAAGAGATGAGGCTAACAAGTATGCAGAAATCTGATCATGGGGCCTGGGTGTGTTTGTAGAGGATTTTGGACTTGATCCTATATATATTCTGTACATATTATAGGATTCTAAGTAGGCATTAGTCAAAAGTTCTGTAAACTGTACTATAATTAATAGTAATTAAGAGGTTCTTAACCTGGGAGTCACAGGCAGGCTGCAGTTGTTCCCAAACCCTCTGAAATAGCATGCAAAATCTGTGGGTGGGTATGAGGTGGTCTTCATTTTTTGCAATGGAGAAAGTACCCAACTTCATCAGATATTAAAGGAATCCCTGACCCCAAATCCAAAATATGAACCACTACTATGTACAGGCATCTTCAGGAATAACTGGCATAAAATACTCACGCAAATCTCGTTTTCATCCTGAACTTCTCCACAACTCTTACGAAACTGTTTAGCATAGAGAAAATGCTCCGTAACTGTTCAGTTGCGATGTAGAGATGAAATAGACCTGGTTATTTTTAGAGATTTTAACTGGAATTATTAGATATAACCTGATCTTGGGCAGCCAGACCAAACCTGTAGGCTTTTGGGCACGACCGCTGTCCCCGAAACCCAACTCCAGCATCCTTGTCCTTCCACCTGCAGGTGGACCGACTACAAGTCCCAGGAAGCTCCGCGCTCGGAGCGGGGGCGGGTCTCTGCAGTGACGTTATAGCCCCCGGCGGGCCAGGGGAGGCGGGGCCGCGGGGCCGAGGGGCGGGCCGGAGAGCGCGCTGGTGCTGATGCAGGATGGCTGAGCGCGCCGGAGCCCTGGGGGTCTGAGCCGGGCGAGGCTCGCTCCCAGTGCATCGCCTGGTCCGCCGGCCGCGTGGTCGCGGGCAGGTGGGCCTGGGGCAGAGCGCAGGGCCGGGGCAGGGCCAGGGAAGGCAGGTCTGCAGCCGGCAGGGCCGAAGGCTGATAGACTGCCACCTACCTGGTCTCGGAGCGGCAGGAGCTGCCCATCCTCCGAATTCGCCATGACCTGCTGAGAAGCTCCGTGGGGGCTGCTGGAGGCGGCCTCGCTGCGGGCAGTGTGGTTCGCGGCCTCCTCCCTCGTCTGCCGAGCCCCGGCCCCCCACCCCTCCCTGCGCCCCCTCCCTGCGCCCGCTCCCTGCGCCCCCTCCCTGCCGCCGGCCGAGATGGCGGATCCAGCTGAATGCAGCATCAAAGTGATGTGCCGGTTCCGGCCTCTCAACGAAGCGGAGATCCTCCGCGGGGACAAATTTATCCCCAAATTTAAAGGCGATGAGACCGTGGTCATCGGGGTAAGTGGCCAGGGCATCCAGCCTCCCCTCCTGTTTCGCGCTGCAGACCAGCGTCCCGACGCCCCAGACCGAGCATCTCTGCTTGGGCCGCCCCTTCGGACATTCCTGCGGGGCTGCTTTCTCCCGTAGACTTGACGAGAACCCCCTGCCCCCACACCATAGTTCCCTCCGGGGTGGTGGAGGGGCGGTGGAGGGGCGACGCGGGCGGAGGGGCGGGCCCCAGGTGGTGGGGTGGGGGTGGGGGGCGAGGAAGGGTTCGGCGTCTCCATTGTTCGCGGGGTGGGGGCTCGGGTGGGCCTTTTGTTCCCACCCGAGTGTTCATGTCTTGTGGGTAGTGTTCAGGTTACCCGTAAACTGAGGTGCTCAGGCTCCTCTTAAAGTATGAGCTCTGCAAACCTACAAATGATTCCAGGGATCAGTTCGATTTATCGAACATTTTGCCTTTTCTCACGATCTTAGCAAAAGAAGAAGAAAAAAAAAAGGTACTGGAAAAATTCTAGCCTCGTCTCGGAGCCGTGTAGCTGCCCCCTGCCCCCCCCCCCCCCACGGCGTTTCACCTTGCTTGGCGAGCTGAAGGAAGGCGGGGGATGCAGGGAACACTGGTGGCCTTGCTGTCCCCGGGAGGCCTGCTGTGTCTCCTGCTGCTTCTCAGCCCAGGCCGCCTTGGACGTGGAGCCCGGGTCTGACCCCTCCCGGATGGGGCGACTCCCCCACTTGGTGTCCACAGATCCTCGGATGTGCTTCGTGCTGAGTGGAGAGGAGGCTGTGTGCCCACATCTGTGGGGTTAGGGGGCCCAGAGCGCACCCCAGTAGCCCCACTGTGCAAAGAACAGAAGTTACTTAGTGTGGCTAGGGCACCCCTCCCTCTTGATTTACCCTCTCCCCCCCCCCCCCCAACCAGCTGGGGCTGCCGGTGCAGGGAGGGAATACCATGAGTTTTTAGTTCTTAAAGGAATATGTCCGCTGAAATGAACCAGGCTTGTCCTTCCCCCAACCCCCGTCCCTTCTCCACCCCCCTCCACTGTCCCCAGCATGAGTAGCTGCTGGTGCCCTCTTTGTATGCGAGTCGCGTGGGGAGAGACCGAGTTAATGGGAGCCTCCGGATCCCCTCTGACACGTTCCTGGCAGCCCGCTGGAGGCTGCTGATGCAGCCTTCCCGTCCCCAGCATTGATTAAGTGATGTCATCCCGATCACTGAGCATGCTCCGACTCCTTCTCCCTCCCATTCCCCCGAGTGGCTGGTGTATTTAGGTCAAGTGATTGACAGGTGACAATTTACTGAGGGTCTCTGCCAGAGTCTGCAGGCCTTTCTCAAACTAGAGGCCAATGTTTGCCTGCTCAGGCAGTTCCAGCGTCTTCGTCAAGGTTGAACCGCAGCGAAGGGCCCCTGGGACTGGCAGGTGCTAAATGTATCAGTAGGCTGAGCACTCCTCACTAGGGTTCTCAGGCAAGGCTCTGACCTTGGCATCTGGGCTTCATCTTGTACTGTACCTCCCTTAGGAAGGCAGCTCCCCGTGACGACCTTTTCTCCTGTCCCCATTTTCACATTTATCAGGAAACTGACTTCTAAATGCTATGTGGATGGGTGTTCTTTCTGAGAGCTGACCTGTGAGGGTCAGAAAGAGTTTTCACTCTGTGTAATGTTAAGTTGAAGAGAAGATGTATGCTATGACTGTTGATAAGGAGGAAAATTCTGTAATTTATGGCAGATATGGGATAGTGGTATATCCATGGCCAGTGCATGGGGCAAATAGCAAATTGTTTGGGTTACACCTCTCAGCTGGGATCAGCCTAACTCTGGGCTTAGAGTGGGAGTTATGGGACATTTAGTCCCTGCCCCTTGCCTTGTAACAATTTTTTTAAAGAAATAATTGTGCTGCACTAGAACACGTTCTGGTGACCCTATCCCCCACCCCCAGGGTTTAAAGAACAGCCTGGAGAAGTTTGTTCTTTTTCTCCTCCTCCTCCCTTCTCTTTCTCTTTGTCTTCTGAGAGCAATAGACCAGGACTAACAAGGTGGAGTAATACAGGGTGGGGCAAAGTAGGTTTACGTTGTTGAGTATGTGAAACACAGAGTTTATTCTTGTATTTTGTTTATTAATTATTGTATTATTTTCCATATGAACAATTTTACCCAGCCTGTATATCATCCTCTGATCTGTGTGCAAGGCAGCGATCCTTAATTTTAGGGATCTTTCTTTAATATTATGACATTACTATGACTATGTATTTCCCATCGAAGTACATATGTTATTGACCAAATAAATGAAAACAAATTATATAAAATAAATTTCACCATAATTATTTTACCATAATTTAAACAAAAAATTGTGTATGTGAATACACATGTAGCTCTTCCACTATAAAGTTAAATTTTTGCTATAATTTTTACTATAATCCTTTAATACAACCAAGTTTTCAGTTTTAAGATAAATTTCTTGTTGAAACAAATCATTCCTATAGAAAGGTGCTACCATAATTGTGCAGCTTGATGAGTTTTTATAAAGTACACACTCCCTTGTAATCGCTTCTCAAACTAAGAAACAGACATTTCCAGGACTCCCGAAGTCCCCTCGTGTCCCTTCCTGCCTCTGAGTCCTCCTGCTTCAGGGTAACCACTATTCTGACTTCTAAGGCCATAGATTAGTTTTGCTTTTTTTTTTTTTTTTGAAACTTTATATACATGAAACCAAGCAGCATGTCCACTTTTGTGTGTGGCTTCCTGTGCTCAACATCATGTTTGTCAAATTCATCCACGTTGTGGCGTGTGGCAGCAGCTTGTTCATCCTCATTGTTCTGTAGTACCCCATTATATGAATGCAGCAAAGTGTATTTGTCCATTAACTGATGGTAGGCATCTGGATAGTTTCCAATCTGGGGCTAATATGGACAGAGCCGCTATGCACATTCTTTTATACACATCTTTTGGTGAGTGTGGGTACAGAACAGAAAACTGCCAGATGCTGAAGGGTGTTGGGACTTGGATTGGCATGTGCTAGGACCCTCCCTCCCCATTCCTAATTAATAATGTGTAACTAAGGGAAATGACAGGTCTGGCAGCCTCTATCACGCTTTGTACACTGAGTCAAATGGCTCCCCTGTCAGTTCATTTGGAACCAGCCCACGTGGCTCAGTTTCAGATGGAAACTGCCTAAGGTGGCTACTCCTTTCCTTGCTTGCAGGGGTGCAGATTGTGGGGATGAAAACCCCAGAAGCATCCAGAAATGCCAGTAACCTTCACCCCCAACAGAGACCATTAAAGAAAGAATTTCTGTGGAGTTAGCTCTTAGTCCAAATTCAGAATCCCAGAAATTCTTTTTATTTTTGAAAGGGGGTGTTTTTTTTTTTTTTCTCTTGAAAGTCATGTTCAGATCTTAAGGGAATGTATGCTAACAGGGAGATTTCGCGAGTGGAGCTTCTAGATTTCTCTGTTTGAGGAAATGTCCTGTCTTGGAGGAATCATCTCCACGATTCTTGCATTGTTTTAACTCCTGGGCTGAGCTTTCTTTCCCTGACCCCCCCCCCCCCCCCGCCACTCTCTCGCCCCACTTTGAACCCATATAGCATTTATTTTGTATATGATCATATAATCTTTTGCCTTAGATTAATTATTATTAGTTTTGATCATTTGTCTAGTGGCATTTAAGCCATGTGCAGAGAGAGACAAGGACCTTCTGTGTTTTGTTTCTCTGTGGTCCTCAGGGCCTTCTCCATAGAAAGCACTTAATACATATTTATTGATCTCTTTGTTGACTCTAGAAGTCTTGATGCATCTGTGTTGATGGAAACTGTCTTGGAGAGTTCCCTGTAAAATTCTTTGAAATGGACTTTCACACTTGAGTTTCGGGCTTTCCTTTCGTCTTCTGGTTCAGAGTCCTGAGAAAGGAGGACTTACGGTTGCTTCCTCCTGCCTCTACTTCCACAGCAAGTCTCTCTCATCGCCTGTTCTACCTCCCTCATTCACTTTGAAGGGCCTGTGAGATTATATTGAGTCCACCCCAATAATCCGAGATAATCTTTTTTTTTATCCTCACCCGAGGACATTTTTGCATTTATCTTCAGATAGAGCGGGAGGGAGAGAGAGAGAGAGAAACATTGATATCCAGAGAGACGCATCAAGTGATTGCCACCCAGACGACCCCAACCAGGGCCGGGGACAAACTGCAACCGAGGTATGTGCCCTTAGCAGGAACCGAACCCAGGACTCTCTGGTCTGTGGGCTGATGCTCTAACTGCTGAGCTAAACCTGCCAGGGCCCAAGATATCTATTTTAAAGTCAGCTGATTAGCAAACTTAATTCCATCTGTGAAGTCCCGTTTACCCTGTAATGGTCACATAGTCACAGATTTCCAAGGTTTGGAGTGTGAACATGGTTTAGGGCCATTATTCTGCTTACCACATACTACCATTAAACAAAAAAGCTCTCATGCCCCTTCTACCCCTCTGTAGTCAAACTTTCTCCCCTCTCTTAACCCCTGGCAACCATTTATCTGTTCTTCCTCTATAATTTTGGCTTTTCTAGATTGTCATAAAAATGGAATCATGTGAAGTATCATTTTGAGTCTGGGTTCTTTTACTTAATCAACTCTGAGCTTTATGTTGTTGCATGTATCAGTAGTTCGTTTTTTCATTGCTTAGTAGTATTCCATTAGATGGGTATACCATTGTTTGTTTATCCATTCATCTGTTGAAGGGCATTTGGGTTGTTTCCAGTTTGGGATGGTTATGAATAAAGCTGTTGTACACCTATGCATGTAGGTTTTGTGTGAGAATACATTTTTATATCTCTTGGGTAATTACCCAGGAATGGGATTGTTAAATAGATTCTATCATAACTCTATGTTTAATTCTAGGAAATTGCTAAACAGCTCTGGTGAGGTAACTCAGTTTGTTAGACCATTGTCCTCATACACCAGTGTTGCAGGTTCAATCCCTGGTCAGGGTACATACAAGAATCAACCAATGAATGCATCAATAAGTGGAACAACAAATTGATGTTT